AGTAGAGACGACGGAAACGTGGTTGTATGGCCTTACTTCGGCTTCACCACAGCTTTTGACAAAGTGCATCACCCCTCACTCCTTCGGAAGCTGAATTCATTTGGAATAAGTGGCAAGTTGCATAACTGGACCGGCTCATTTCTGCTGAGCCGCATCCAAGTTGTCAAAACAGGCTCATATTGTTCCCTCCCCAAAAATATCACCAGTGGAGTTATCCAAGGCTCCATTCTCGGACCCCTTCTCTTTATAATGTATATAAATGATATATGCGCCTGCTTTCAATCAGGGAAAACCTTCCTCTTTGCAGATGACTTGAAAGTGGTGTACACTTTTCACCCTAACCAATGTAGCAGCGTCAGTACCACCATACAAAACAATCTGGACAAGCTACAAAGATGGTGTGACACGTGGCTGCTACCTCGGAATACACAGAAGTCCGGCTTTATGCTCTTCGGCGAACAAAGCGTGCCAACTAATCCTCGACTGGACAACATTGCACTCCAACAGCTAAATAGTATTTGCGACCTTGGAATAAGGAACTCCAGTGACCTTTCCTTTACAGAACACGCAACGGCACAGTGCTCCAAAGCACGCTGCCTCATTGGCTTCATTCACCGGAATTTTCGCCTGAATGAAACCAAACTGATTCTATATAAGATGTGCGTGCGACCACTACTACAATACTGTCCTATCATACTTAGTTGCTCGCGGTCCAGTGACAATCGGAAAATAGAGAAAACCCAATTACACTTTACCAGACTTATCTCCTCAGGTAATTCACACAAGGGCAGATGTCATGCTAATCGGTTGCAGCCCATGTGGTTGAGGCAAATAAAGTTAAACCTCAGCAATTTCTATAAAGTCCTACACCATGAAGTGACTACTGATGTGGATACGGTAAAGATCGCTGGCAAAAAACCCTATAATCCTAGAGACCAAGACTGCCCAGTCACACTACCATATGCGTCCAAACAGCTCAAGTCTTCATTTTTCACAACTCGTTACGCTAACATTCGGAATAGACTGCCGCATGATGTCCGATGCTGCAAGACCATATCTCAGTTTCACTCGACCTTGGACCAATACCTCAATGAACTTGGAGTATACAGGACTCTACCCTACATAGACGACACCGTGTTCCTTATTGGCCCACCAAATATCTAGAGTCCGATACGCAATAGTCCAATGCAACCACCCAAGAATTGATCAAACGGTGAGTTATTTTTGCTGACTTACGCAATATTCTATGCGAATTTGTGGTAATTGTTTTTAATGCTAGTTACTGTTCCTAATCTCAATGCTGCCATAGTCCAGCTACTCTTAACCCCTCCTACGACCAAACATTCCACCCACCGTTCCCTTTTCTCCTTGTAATAAGCTAGGAGTTTTTGTGCTGTACAGTAGTACAAGTCAGTTTTGCGTGATAGATCAAGCTTGACTACTGCATAAATACAGGTATAATGGTCACAAGTGTTGCCTGACGTATGGTATGTACCAATAGCGTATGCACGGTCTTAGCCAGCTGACAGTAAGCTGGAAATATCGCCGTAACCATCAACTCTATTGAGCGTAGCACAGAAACATTAAAAATAACGTGGAAATATGCGAAGATGGCGATGACTGACCAAGAGGCATGATGGTAAGGAGATAAACTTGAACTATCCCTGCCTTTATGGCGGTATCTCCACGAAACCTACGGCTCTCGTACTTATGACGACAAAATAATAGTAAAACGAATGAGGTCACCAAAAAATAGTCCTCCGGGTCTACCAGCTCAGCTCACCATGCGCCACCATATTTTCTCTATAGTCCTGACATGGTAACACTCAACAGGCGACACCATGATCATCCCTCCCCCTGACTATATAAAGCACGGTTACTATTACAGCAAAGAGCATGATTTCTATTTAAATGTTTATAACTTCAGTGAACTTTTGTACATAGGTTTTCTACACGTAAGCGAACACCTGGTCCAAAATAGTCCATTCTCTCTGTTCCATAGTGACATCCTCGGCTTCAGTTTAGTTTCCACTACTTTTGCATGCACATTCATCTTCTTCCCCATAAGTTTATCTGTAAACAGTAGGTTTGATACCTCTTCAAGTAACTTTTGCAGTCAGTACAATGAACTCATCTTCATGTATCATGGTCGATGTACTTCTGTGCTCCTGTTCCGAATTTCGTCTGATGCTCGCTTTTGTTATTCATTTTTCAGGTTTACCCAAACAGTCCTTCACCTATATGGAATCCGGGTAGTCTAGTTTGTCAGCTCGCACTATGCCATCTAGACCTTATGACAAACGCATGTAACTTATATTGTATGAAATATGTAATTAGTATTATTATTATTATTATCAGAGATTCATAATCTTGATGAATATTACTACTGAGGGCTAAATATCCTCACCTTTCCAACTTCGGCATCCAGAAGCAATAAACTTGTTCTGGTGCGCCAGGTGGACTTTCGGGATATCTTGTTGATAATGGGTGTCATTACTGGTGAAAATTGGCACAGGTTCGATCTACCAACAGGCTTGGGTGTCCTTATTTGCAACCAGGGGAAACGATAAAGCAAAACAAAACGTGTGCATCAATGCGCACGTGCTTAAAATTCTATGCTAACCACGTCCATGCCACAAGGTTGGTGGCATTTTTCCAGCGGGCAGACGAATAATTTAAGATCATTTCATTTTCACATGTTTGTTCATTATGGTCTATGCATACTAGTGATCACAGCTTCGAAAAAGGGATTGAGTTGACGCGTCTCTGAATTTGAGAAGTGAACTCAACATGTTGCACCTAAACTTTTAGTGGATCTGGAAGCCAGTAGGTATTGATTACAGACATCGAACTTCTTCGGCTCAAGCCGTTCTATGCAGGTTGCTCTTTTTCAGTCCAGGTCACTTACAGACCTCCCAAATCCTGAAATATTTTGAGTCCACACCTTGGCATTTGATTCAGGTCGTGACTGGATAGGGGCAGCTTGAAGGGAATTGGAGGATAAGTTGGCTATTCTTCAGCGTGCTTCACATGTGGCTCTAACCTCTTCTCACGCTAGCGTCTCTCAAATAGATCTTTCTTTGGTACAGTCTCATGGAATACTGACTGTCCACTGTTTCCTTACTAGGTCCAAATCCTTGCTTATGACCATTTCCCTATCCATCTCCTCGGTCTTCATTGCCATCCAATGCTTACTTTTAAGGTGCAAGCTCACTATCAGTCTCCACTTGATCTGCTTTCACCTGTGATTTCTTTGGAGCTTGTAGGAATACGTTCATGGACATTCGTCAATTCAGAACCAGCCACCATATCCACTGGCTCTTTCAAATTTTTGTCGGTAACGCCTACTGTACTTGACATTGGCTTTGCAACAGACTGTATTTGGTGCCAGGTTTGTCAGGCGTGATAAGCGTTGGTTCACCGTAAAATGCTTGGTAAATTAATCTCCAAGAGAAGTTTTAAAATCCTTATTCGTGAGCTGGGGTCATTAAGGTCTTGTGGTGGTAATTGTTCATTGTCCATCTTGGTGCGGACATAACCAATTCTAAACAGGCTCTTGATCACTGTCCGGGCTCATGAATGGCATCTTGATGAGTGTCCTTCTGCATGAATGATTACGCGTTGTCATAATTTTAGGATAAAGATGATATCTTTGTGAAGCGTGTTGATTGTGAAGAGAGTATGAATTATAGGTGGAGATTTGCATGCACAAATGTGTTGATAGTTCTTATCGTATATATGTTGATGATATCAGTATGTGGGGAATGGTGGAGATCAGGTCGAATCGAATCTTATTCCGTCGTCCCTATTTAGACGAATTTGATTTGACTTTATGTGAGGAGGTTGTATGCTGTGAGGCGTTTCGCGTAACTCTTAGAGCCCCTCTGAATTACTTTTATGTTGTCAAGATCGACAGTGTGACCTGAAATTGTGTTCACAAAATGAAATGATTAGACTGCGATGCAATAGGCACGGGACAAACTTCCTGTGAAATCAAAATCAGGGAAACTGAACGCCGAAGAGCTTCCACCCGACCCCTAGAAATGCACTGGAACTGAAAGGACTTGAAAACACATCAGCCATAGCCCTACATGCTGTAATATAAGGTCACATTGTCGATCTTGACAACATAAAAGTAATTCAGAGGGGCTCTAAGAGTTACGCGAAACGCCTCACAGCATACAACCTCCTCACATAAAGTCAAATCAAATTCGTCTAAATAGGGACGACGGAATAAGATTCGATTCGACCTGATCTCCACCATTCCCCACATACTGATATCATCAACATATATACGATAAGAACTATCAACACATTTGTGCATGCAAATCTCCACCTATAATTCATACTCTCTTCACAATCAACACGCTTCACAAAGATATCATCTTTATCCTAAAATTATGACAACGCGTAGTCATTCATGCAGGGGGACGGTCGTCAAGTTACCGTGTGTAAGCCTGGATGCTGCGAATTCCGGTTTACTACGACTTTGATAAGGCTAGCGTCACTAAGTAGCGAAACGTCAGTTGAAATGAATTTATTTTGTTTTACACTTATAGGGAAATACGAATGCCAAGATAATGAACACTAAGGAGGCCTTTGAGTACAATTAACATTTCATATCAGTGTCATATTCACTATTACGGAGGAAGAGTGTGAAGTGATCGGGACTTAAGTCTAACACTCCTCCGTGTTCTCTGGTTTTCTAATGTCGGCACTATCGGTTCTCCCTGTACGAACACGACACGCTGCCCCTTATATCGAAAGATAAACCGAAAGGTCGTATGCAACCAGCCCCACACGTAGGTTTTGTGAGGGTTTAGGGCCGCTCACCAAGGTTGTCAGGTGCAACCTTATCAACCTACTTCCCTTACCCCGTAAAACAAGATGAGTTAACTTACGATGGTTTGTGGATGAAATAATTTTACTTCCAGTGTAGCAGCAAATGCTCAGGTTAAGTGCCGTTTCTACTAGCATACGAAACTTATTTGTCCACATTCATGATGGATTTAATTTGGTGTCTCAAATCAGTAAACAGTAATCCTGTTCACAAAGAGTCTTTGAGGTAAACGAACATTTTATCACCGAACTATTATCGTAATAGCGCCCAATACTTACTTTCATTTGCTTACAAAAAAAGGAATTGCAAAAGGTTACTTGGTAGTATCAGCCCGATCCGTTCTGTAGAAAAACCAACCTACAATTTGAAAAAAGAGAACCTAATAGAAAATCACTACTTCCAAAACTATAAGTAGATAAACAGTAAAGACTTCTGCGACCAACGAAGGGGTACAAACGACTAAGAAGCATCAAGGCTCAAAAATTATAGGCGAGGGATCAAGAAATACAAGTTTACTCTACTCTCACAACTGGTGTCGGATTGGAAATTTAATTTTAGTTGAATGTCAGGCACTTTGAAGGCGCTGTAAACGATATTTGACCCTGATATTTATTCGGTAGGTGTTGTATGGAGGTTGGTTTCTCACTTCTGTAACGTAGTCAGACATGTTGGTGAATTAATATGTCAATAGTTCCCATTGTTGATTTAAGTATAAGTTGTCCAACAGAGAGACTATTTTCGACGAATTCAATCTCAAGCTGTTCTTTTGTATATGCGTATCTATTGAAAAATCACCGCAAGAAAAATATCAACATTGATGATGGTAATGATGTTAAAAGTACTTATAGTTGGGATAAAAGTTAAAGTACTCGTAGCCCAGGACAGCCTCCACGTGCTTTGCACGATGTTTTCCGGTGATTGTACGAAAGCATATTATCTTCACATACCCCCATGTCCTTAAGGTAGCTTATTAATAGTGTCACTAGACTTTCAAACGTAGAAGGTGCACCCGTTAGCCAAAATAGCATTCGTCCAAACTGGTGCGGATTTTGATCCTAGGTAAATGCTGTTTGCGGTGAATTGATTCCCATTGTGACACTCAGTACAAGACATTTGGCGAAAAGGCTTTTCAGTGATTTCATTCTTAAGCTGTACCCCGGTACATATTACTTGAGAAATATTGTATGATGAAGTACATACAGTAATGATACTAGAAATTTTAATTGTGGAAATACTTATTGTTGCGATCACAGATTGAAATGATCAGTGAAGTGAATCTTACGGGACTACCTCTGATTCCCGTACACCACCTAGTACCTCCGCCACTCGTCTGCGATTTACTACCCCTTCCTTAAATACTTCAAGTGTCACGACATCAGGTTCAGCTGCTTTGCATCATTTCAGTCTCGACAAAGCTTTCTTGACTCCAACAAGAGTTGAAAGATCGATGTCTACGTCTCATTTAGGTTCAGGCTGGATGTTTGTAAACTGAAACCTTGCTGTGGGTCAGTCAAACTGTGCTTCAAAGTGTTCGACCCAACGTTCTAGCCCCCTGTTCTTAGACGCTATCAGCGACCCATGCTTTTGGGTGTTGGTTTCGCCAACCACCGCTTCCTTCCTGCCTCTATCTTTAATAAGCGTAAATAGTTTCCGGGTATTACTTACCGCAGATCCCTTTCTCATCTCTATTTTTCGCCACACCATTGCTAGTGATCGACGTGAACTTTTGGTGGATTCCCGTTTAAGTTGCCTTTGGTTTTCATTGTGGTTAGAGCCGGCTGGAATGAGGGTTTTCGTATCAACCAGTTTGGATGACGTTGCGGTAATCCAATGACGTTTTCTAACCTTCTAGTGTAGGTTACCAACTGTTTTTACAACTCTTTCTACTGCAGACATAATATCAAACCAGGTCTTTTAGGGATGAGCATTGCTGCCGCATTCAGACAAATGCTTACCTATCTCCTCTCTAAATGCATACTTGACTTCCTCATCTTCTGATCGAGCAAAAACAGACTGGCCTGTCGTGTTTTCCGCAACCAGTGAGGCTCAGATATGCATGAGCCCATGGTAGCACGTGGTTAAAGTCAAAAGGTGCTCTCCGAAAGAACAGTTCTCCACTGATCCTCTCCAACGTTGGCTTATAGCAATGTGATTTGTCTATGCCCATCATTGGTTTGATATTGGGGAATGTCATGTGAGACAATTTGTCTGCTTATGCATGCAATTAGTGCTAGACAGAAACAATGGGTTGTAAAAAACTGCAATGGACGATCACCATTGTCTATTTGTTGGCATGGGATTCTGTAGATATCCCTAAGATGACTTTCCGATTGTCTCAGTTTTCCTACTTGAGTGTTGGGGCCGCCTGCTATTATGACTATATGTGAACGTTTTGCTTTCTGTAGGAAACTTGGCAGGTTTTCATAGAATTCACCCTTTGCATCATCCGAACTGGAGTTGGTGGGCGCGTAGGTGAAGATTACGAATAGGCATCCGGTAGTCTCACGATGGTTTTTAGTTCTTACAGATCCATTCAGTCGAAAAGCACATAAATGGCTGTTGACTTTCATCCAGTCGAGAAGTGCACTTTCTGCTCTTCAGTTCAACGGTATGCCTACACCAGCGAGTCCACGAGAGCTAGTTATTGGGTTTCTAGATACTCACGAAGCGAATTCTGAAGATTCGCTACGATGGAAAGGTTAAGTCACGTGTATAACTACATTCAGGTCCTGTGTACATATTCGTGGTTAGAGATTCTAGATTTCTAGTGAGCGATGCTTGATCTTGGATTTCGATTAGGGTTTGTGCGTTGAAAGCTGCAATATCAAGTTGGTGGCGGGGACTTTGGAGATTAGGAATGACATTTCAGTGGCTTTGATCTTCAGGAACGGTTGCAGAATGAGAGGTTTAGGAAGGTTTAAGAAGCCTAATATATTAATATCAGATGGTGAAGGCAAGGAGGCAGAGTTCATAAGGATAGATTATGTTCGATTGCGTCTTGTATACTACTGGGAGCGTGTGAGTGATTGACACTTCCAGGCTGCTCACATCGTTGTAGGCTATTTCTTCCTAACGTTCCTGAAAGAGAAAGACTGGTGTAACCACATCTGCTTGAAGCCTGTCACATATAGCCTTTTGAGGATTGTTGGTATGAAATTTGACTGTTCTAACACTGGGTAGAGAGAACCCATACCGCATGCATCAGAAGACTGTGGGGCAGGGAGGAGTGTGGTATTTTTGTCGATGACCTTCCCTACCCCTTCTTTCCCATTGGTAAAACAGCATCAGCGTGGCACTGCCGATCATCCAAGGGAAATACCTAACTACCATCTCTTCCATCCAGTCAGCAGTACGACTTCAAACTCAGACTCCCATCATGGTGTAGCAATTTATGCTATAATGGTAAACTGATTTTTGTCTAAAAACTATCCAACAGACCTTTATGGTATGGTTGGACCTCGAGAGAACAAGCGTTCTAACCAGTATAGCTCGTTGGGCCATTGTGGTAAACAGGCCCGACCACCACGTCGGGGTAGCAGCCATCGGTCGTGTAAAAAACCACTGGTTTCATCTTTATAAGCTATGGTGTGTTTTGGACATGTCATTCACTCCTTATCCTTAAACGGGGGTAGTTGTAGACTAATTATGGAGCATGATCTTACATTTGACAGGTGTGAAACACACCAAACATAACGTGTTCAGAGGACCATTCATTTTGTCAACGTCTTCACCTAGCAGGACAATATCGTCTGCATACTCCAACTCAGTCAGGTGACCTCCAATGACCAGATCAACCCCTTTGAAGTAAGACCTACCTAAGGTTATGTCCATTAGTACGTGTATATCAAAGCTGAATAGAAAAGGTGACAGTGGGCATTCCTGACGGACACCAATAGTTGTCTTCAAAAGTGACGACAACTCTCTGTAGGTCCTTATATGGCTGTATGAGATCAAGTAGAGAGCTCTGATAAGGATTATATACTTGCTCAATACTCCGTTCACAGTCAGTCACTGCCACAACACCTCATGGTTGACGGAGTCAAGTGCCACCTTCAGGTCGAGAAACACGGCAAGTATCGTCCGTTGGCCAGTAAGTATGGCTGTGTTACAGAATTTGTGGGAGGATGAAAGTCTGGTTGGTGCATCATCATTCAGGTCTGAAACCTATCTGGTTTTCTTGAGATCCCGTTAGGCATTGGATAACTATGGACGCTAGGATGTTGGACAGAATATTAGTCAGACTAATTCCCATATGGTTGTCACGGGAAGATTTCTTTCCCTTCCTATAAACTGGAAAGATGAGTGAAGTAGACCAGTGTGATGGCATTACCTCTAATTTCTACATACTACTTAGTACGTCCATCACTTTAATTAGAGTAACTGGACACTTGCTTTCTTACACGTTCAAGCATATAAGCTAACCATTGATTAATACGGTGGCAACGAAAACCAACCAAATCCAGGATCAGAGGAAAAGAATATCCTAGTTTATGTATCTTGGATAATTCAGATGGATTTTTGATAATGAAGCCAACCGGTCCAATGCTTTCAGAGTAAACCATTGGGTTATTCTTCAAGTTTTTCAAGACACTTGCGGGTTGGATCTTAACTTGTCTCCGTTTCAGACCTAGAGAACTTTTTCTGATTGAAGAAGATTAAAAGAGGTGTTAGTTATCGTGTAACTTCTTCTTGGAGTTCAGTGTTGGATAACTGAGTTTCAAGCTCTGCGAGTTTGGGGTCAAGATTTAACTGCCACTTCCCAGGAAACTTGAGCTCAGAAGCATCCGTGAGGCTGACATCTTTTTACAGATTGATGGCCTCGACTAACATATTGACCGTATTGTTTATTATGTCCAAAAGTTCGGTGAGAAAGGCTAAACGGAAATAAGTTATGTAATACCTTCATGGTTGCCATACAATCATGCAAACAGGCTGAAACGGGGCGACCTAGCAAATACTGAAACGTGTGGTTTGTAGTTGCTATATCTTTTCTGATTGAATCCCAGGCACAGCAGTCTGGCTCTATTTAAACCTATGCACTTTGGTTAGCCTTAGGTTGGTTCATTAGTCAGCTGGCTGGCTGGAGAGGATCGGCAGGGAGCTTTGTACCTAGGTTTCACGTTTGTTGGCAATCGTCAGCAAGGTGCATCTACAACCCTAATGGAACTGATTTCCCCTCTGGGATTCAAACTTTCGTGACCCAGTGCCTCAGTCAGAGACGTTACAGCTGATTTATTCGAGCCTTACTGACAAGTTCCAATAAGCACGAAACTTAGGTTCAGGGCTTCTTTGCGACTGCCTCCAGCCAAGTAGCATCTATGAAAGCACACAGCGATGGTGAATCTCATAGCCTGCCGACCCCACTCAAGAACAGCCGATAGAATTCGATCAGCATTCAGGACTAGGCAGCATAAAAGTGGTACTCCTAAATGACTAATGGGTGTGACTTCCGTGTTCAAAAAATAGGATAGAAATCGAAGCTCCTTGAAAAACCTCCTGCACATTCATACAGTAGGCAATCAGCCATAAGTATCGTGAGTGCTAATGTTACTAGCTGGCTACCTAAGCCACAGTAGGTGGTGGAGCTGGGTTCGAAATCGTGAAAACGGTTCGAAA